AGGGTTAAGGGTTTAGGGTTTGTGGCCTAAGATTTAAAGCGTGGGGGATTCACTAGTTGGCGGTTGACAGAAGGTTTTGGGGGGTAAATTTCAGCACATCATCGAAACAAAACGACTTTGAGGATGATCCAGAAGTGATATTGACAATTTGTCATTAGCATATGAGTAGCATGTTTAACGTGGAGCCTCTATTCCCCAAGATAAAGCAAGAGTCTCTTTTGATCCTGCTTTCGGTTGTAGCATCCTTTCATAAGAACTCAGTTTGATTTGGTTCAACTAGAAAAGCCCTAAACCTTAAACCCTAAAACCCCAAAGACCAACGTACGCTACTTGTGGCTTACTTTCTAGGTTCTACCTTAAGCCCTAAGCCCTAGACCCAGACCCCTGGGTCTAGAGTTCTGAGGATTCCCCAACACCCAGGACCCACGCTCCCCCAGAAAATACGAGCCATTGTCTAAATTCCTAGTATCCCCTTTAATAACCCCTATAAATAGTAGTCCCATATATAATCCCCTATATAACCCCCCTTTAAGGAGTTTAGGCTATAGCTCATATATGTAAGGATCCTCGTCAGCTTACTGGTGGTTAGTAGGTCTGAGCTCCTTGAAGGGGGACTAGATAGGGGATTATATAGGGTTTGAGGGTGTAGGGTTATATAGGGGACTATATAGGGAGCATTATAGGGGTTGTTAAGGGGGATACTAGGAGGTTTGACAATTATATGATCCCTACATAATTTGATCGCCTAGCAGTTTAGCCTTGTCAAGGTAAGCCGGCTGCCAAAGTTTAGGGTTTAGGGTTTGGATTTTCCCCCCGGCGTCCCAGAGGCTTCTACATCTACAAGATGCCAGTCAACATGTCACGCGGTTTATCTTTGGAAGCAGTTTTCTCCTTTTTGCTGGCGTATCATGGATTCCCACCCTACCACCCCCAAAGCTTCCCCCTTAGTCGGCCCTAATTATCCTTAAGGAACCTTGACTAAGGTGGGTAGAGGGGGTAGTGCAGGGGGGGAGTAGTAGAGCCCTGAATCCTATACCTGAAACAGTACAGTGGGACCCCAGACGCTAAACCCTAAACCCTAAACCCTAAACGTCTGTCAGGTTCTTGGGCTGGAGGGCTAGAATCATGCGTAATCCACCACATGATCTAATGGTAGACATAGGTTTCCCTTTGCTAGTTTAGTACAGTCCCGACTATATTCCTCAATAAGGATCCTTGTCCATGAGCTACAGACGTAAATATTGACTGTAGCTCATATCAACAACTTGAGTTTAGCCGTATGTATTGGACCCTAAGCCCGAACCCTACTTGGAGGGTCAGGGGCACTTAGCAAGTAATCTCATGACCTCCATTAGCAAGACAATCCCCCCCGGTGTTCCCATTATTAGGCTACTTAATAAGCCCCCCAAACCCTAAGCCTACCCTCCCAGGAAGCATACTGGGTACATGCGTTTCTTGCCAGATGGCAGCTTGAGAACCTCCATGTGGAGCAAAGGGAATTGGACGCTAGTTCAGGCCCTGTGGGCTGAGGTTTAGGGTTTAGGGTGTAGGGTGTAAGGTTTAGAGTGTAGGGTTTACCCTATACCCTGAGCCACATTGCAGGCTTTTGGTTCAGGGTTTAGGATTTAGGGTTCAGTATTTGAGGTTCAGGCTTCCGTGTTTGGGTTTTAGGTCGGGGCTTTGGAGTTGGGTTTCAGGGCCTCGGAGTTCGTGTAGGCTTTGGCACAAGCACAGTGGGCCCTCTTTTAACGTCGATGAGCTCCACGGATTACATCCACCTCACCTAGCCAATGACATCGAAGTTGTATATTGAAATTGCTACATCAAGATTGACATAGCCCCATAGCATTGTGTTTGGGCCCGTATGTTACGTGCAGACGTAACACCTAATGTAGAAACTCACCGGTGCTGACGGCTTTTGACCAAAGCCTGCGCAGTTCAAAAAATGTCATTTGCTCTTCTCCACATTGCTGCTCTACTCATTGAGTTTCTGGCTGCCGACTCCGTGGACTGTATTGCTTGGGAATATGCTCCAGCTGCTTCAACTGCCTTGGCACTGCAAAGTAATGATGAATGGCCAGACTCCTGGCAACAACCGTTTTAATGATATTGACTCCTTGGGAGTTCAGGCACGCTGCTGACGGACTTCTTTTTCGGCACATTTTGGTCTACTCCCATGAACACGGTTCTGCATGAAGGCCGATCTTTTCATGCAGCCATCTCCACTGCAATGGGCTCTGTTCTCCAAGCTGGGAGTTCGGCGGCTCCTTTTAGCAGAGGGTATCCACTGGAGTTATGTGAGGGTTATCCCATACCCTTTCCTCCAATGGCGTATGGAAAGCTCAGGCTGGATTCGGTTCCGTGCAACTTCTCTCTCCAAACAGGCTATGCCCACAGCAGTGCTCGCAGGAGCCGCCAGCGGCAGGCCGGGAATCCACGGCACTCCATGGTTAATTTTCTTCCAGCTGAGGACCAGACATTCTCCGGCGCAATCATGGCAAGTGGACACGAGTCCTGCGGTGCATCCGCGGACTAAGAACTGAATAGTGAGGCCCTTCTTTGCGTTAGATTTTCTTAATGCCGGGACTGGGAAGTTTATCCTGGTCCAGATTCGGCTGTCCCCGGAAAGGTTAGTAATAGCCCGCGCCTTCTCCTTTGTAAAGCACCTCCTGGCCTACATATTTTTCAGTTTAGCCTAAGCCTGTCCCACCTAGTGGGCGGTTGACTCTTCTCCTTGCTTGCTACTTACCCTCCCATGTACATGCTCCTTTAGCTTAAGCGGGCTGCTGACAGGCATTCTAGACTTGGACATGCGTATCGCCTTCGAGAGAGGGAGAGGGGGTTCGTGTAAACTTGCAAGCTTTTCTGTTAAACGGACGGTGGAGATGAATCCGCCCATTTCAGGGCTCCGCGTGGGTTTCTGAACAGAGTCAGAAGTTTAGAGCTAAGGGCTTGGGGCGTGGGGTTTCGGGTTCAGTTGCGAGCCTTGGTTGTGGGATGTAGATTTCTCGTAGAAGAGGGACAACTTGCAGAGGCAGAGTAGATACAGCTCTACTCAGGAAGTCGCGGGACATTCCAAGTTAATCTGCAAGTGTACAGGGACTAGGGTAATCAGAAATAACAAGGTTGAAAGCTTTAGGGCGTTACAATGACATTACATGCCCCCCAAACTCGAATCCCAGTCCCCAAGCTGCAACTCCTAAGTCGGACACGCAAAGCCCTACACCTTCATGTATTAAACAAGGCCTAGCAACGTAGTCCCCTCGGATAGGATGATGGCTTGATGCTTCGCATCCCGCGCTTGTCCCGACGGGTGTTGCTACTGGGTCCATGCAAGGTAAAACGTAAGTCGTATTTTCTCCCCTGAATTTGGGAGATTCAGGGTTTAAGGTGTAGGGGTTTAGGTTGTAAGGAACCTGAAGCCCTGGAGCTTAAAACTGCGTGGATCTAGAGGATCGGGTTGGCGCATGCGCCATGGATTTTCCGTGAAAATAGATATGGGGTCCGTGGGTGTACCCCGCCATTACCGCATTCGTACCCAAAATCCTAACCCCAACCTTTAAAACCTAAGTTGTACTTGGATATAGGGTTTAGGGTAGGGCTGGGGGGGTTCTTAGATGATCCTTTGACTTAGTAAGCCTGCCTAATATCCCAATTCACCCATATTAGATGCCCAATCACCCCCGCTACAAGTAGAAACACGAAGTCACGGGAACGTCCAAGCACGCCCTTAAAAACCACGATGTAAGCCCAGTTTCCATTTCACTTCCTTTCTTTTCCTACTTGGTTTTCATCCTTGGGTTGTGCAGTCTTATATAGCTGTTACATAATCTATATAACCCGTATATGCTCCCCGGGCCCTAACCCCTAAACCCTGAACCCTAGGTTCGCGCAATTCAATTACCGCCGCCTGGCCTTCTTCATCCTTCAAGCTGGTACTTTGCGGGTGGAGTGGTTCGGCATGCACGAGGCTGGAGGGTTGCTGGCTTAGATGAGGATCAAGGTTTTAGGGTTTCGGATTTCGGGTTTAGGATTTACAGGTTAGGGTTTGGAGTTTAGAGCTCAGGGTTTAAGGTAGCCCAAGCCCAAACCCAAAAACCCTAAAGCCTCAAACCACTTACGCCTAAGACTTGAAGCTCAAACCCTAAACGCTAGAACCTACGCCCCAAACCTAAAACCGTCTTACAGCCTAAACTCCAAACCCTAAGCCCTAACCCAAAATCCTAAGCCCTGACGATGGGGTTCAGGACTGATTGTTTCGGGCGGCTGGTTTTGTTGGAGTTTCGGGTCTTGTGAGCCTTAAACTTTACAGCTTTAACCCAAGCTTCAGGGTGTTGAGGGGTTGTATGGGTTTACGTTCTATCCTAAAGCCTAAATCGCTTGAGGGTTCGAGAGGTCTGAGGAGAGCTTTCATGTGCCCACCTGGGCCGAGTTTGCAGCCTAAGGACCCCAACATTTTTCTGGTAAGCTTTTTCACGGTTTAGGGTTTAGGGTTTGATTAGGGCTTAATGTCTGGGATTTAGCGTTTCATGGCGTAGGATCTGGGATTTAGCGTTTCATGGCTTGGGGTTTTGGGTTTCCTTAAGGTCTTGGGTCTCGGATTTAATTTTTATTTGTTTGAAGGGTTGAGATTGAGGGTTTCACTAGAGCTTTGGGCAAAAGATATTGGATTCAGGAGTTGTGCTTGAAGTAGGGGTGCTAGTAGTCCATTGGGAATATGGTTCTGTTTCCCAAAATCCGCGCAACGGACTTCCGCAGGCAAAACTGCTCATATCAGCTCTTGCACATCGCAAGCCCTGTAGTAGTAAAGGAAAAAAAACTCTGAAGCTTAAACGCTGAGCCCATGACTTGTTAATTTCCGCATGGTATCCCAAAGCCTTTTCACTGGTGTAGACTCCAATCTCAACATAACCTCAGGTAGAGAGCTTGCAGAGATATAGTTCCCCTCATACAAGTAGATAGAGTATGGGGAATACGGGGATCGTATTATGATGTTGGGCAGTTCCATATTATTTACTTAAGCGGGACTATACATTGAGGAAGCCTCAAAGAGTGTGGACTCGTTGCATCAGAAAAAAAAACCTAAACCCTAAACCCTGAACCCTGAACCCTACACCCCAAAAGCTCCGACGAAAAACCCTAAACCCTAACAGCAGGCCCAGGGTTTCTGTGAAGACATCCCATGGATTACAAAGTTACAAAGGGATTATGGGACCCCCCTTGTGGATCATATATATATATATATGTATACATACACATGTTGTTATATATACGGTGACACAAGGCTAATGGATGCTACTATTTGGGGTTTAGGGTTAGCGTCTAAAGCCTACACCGTTGATCCAGTTAGAGGTTGACTTGAGAACCTCCCACTGGACGGCAGGATCTGGTCCAGGAGCCCTTCAAACTGGCAAATGCAAACTTTGATGTCTGGACTGCCGGGCAGATCTAGGGTATGAAGGAGAAGGGATGAGGGTTTAGGGTTTGGAGTCATGGGGCTTTTGGGAGGTTTGCGGCGCTTCAAAGTAAGCCCCTCAAACTCCAGTAGCAAAAGCCCCAAACCCTACATCCCAAAGCCCTCGAACATCACCCTAAACCCTCAACCCTAAACCCTAAACCCAAATACCAAAACCCTACCTCGGCCCTGCTAGCTCTTTCGCAACCGACCGGTCCCTGCATGGTTGCGAAAATTATTGCTGCCGTGGGGTTTCCCAGAAATAGTGGTGCCTTAAGGGAGGATATAGGGGTTCTATAGGAGATTTTGGGGTTTGGGTTTAGGGTTGGAGGTTTCCCAAAATCAGGAGCCCTTTTGTTGGGGTTCCCCATGATGAGGATCACAGCCTTTGGGGGTCTATGTTGGCATCCCGAGCTGTATGGAAACTATCGTCAAGACCCTTCCAGAGCCATATGACACTCATACGGTGGATGGAGGAAGTCTTGCACCACATAGGACCTGAATTCCGCTGTAATTCCTAGGGTAGAGGGTAGGCAAGGTGGTGCAAGATTTCCTCCAACCACCATGGAGACCTCCTAAAGAGTGCTGGGGTCAACAAATAAAGTCTTTTCACTGCGGGTGCTGAAGTCTACCCTGGAAAGCTGTGGGTGAGCACCTAAACCCTAAACCCTGAACCCCAAGCCCTAAACCCTAGTCTCCAACACTTCCGGGTTCTCTTTACTGCGGGTCCGGAGAGGAAGGCTTGTAATGCTTCAGGGTACATAGGGGGACCTCAACCCTAAACCCTAAACCCTAAACCCTAAACCCTAAACCCTAAACCCTAAACCCTAAACCCTAGTCTCCAACACTTCGGGGTTCTCTTTACTGCGGGTCCGTAGAGGAAGGCTTGTAATGCTTCAGGGTACATAGGGGGACCTCAATCATTGGATTCTCCTGGTTCTGTGAAAGCTTAAGCCATCCGAAGGAGTTGGTGTTGCTGTTTCGTTCACTTGAGACACCCTAAACCCCTAAACCCTAAACCCCTAACCCCTAAATCCTGAACCCTAAATCCTAAACCCCTAAACCCTAAACCCCTAAACCCGAATCCTAAACCCCTGAACCCTGATTCCTAAACCCATGTCAACGCTAACATAGCAGGGTCCAGGTGGCCAGTGCGATACGCTCAGTGCTTGGTAGCAGGACCACCTCAGAGTTTAGGGTTAGGGAGTTCTATGGGAGTTATTTAGGGAGAATGAAAAAGAAAATGGAAACTGCAGGGATTATTGGGTTTATATAGGGGTTATATAGGAAATACAGGGTATATCTAGAGGGTTATTTAGGGATAATGGAAAGAAAATGGAAGCTATTACTAGGGTGTAGGGTTTAAAGTTTAGGGTTTAGGGCACAGCAAATACCTATGTCCCCCTTAAGTAGATAAAGTATGGGGTGTAGGGTTAAGGGTTTAGGGTATAGTCCCCCTTAAGTAGATAGAATATGGGGTATATGGGGATCTTAGTATAATCTACCCAAAGCCATAATCTACCCAAAGCCATATATTATCTACTTAAGAGACTATAGCCTGAAACTGCAAACCCCAAAGCAGAACTCCGTCGCCGGAGCCAGCGGGCTCTACAGGTCAGAATATGTGTAGGGCATGGTGAAGGGTGCGTGGGTTGAGGTGTAGGGGTCGGGGCCTTAGCTTCAACTCCCATATGGGAACGGCCCCTGTGGGGCAATTGTGGACACATGGCTCATGAGGTACATTTGCGGATCTTGAGGGTGTTTTCATGGTGTTTAATTTGAGATTTATGGAATTCAGAGCCAGGCTACTGGAGGGGTCTTCGAGGGCTGCGTTGGGTATCTGCAAGGCTTTGCGTAAGGTAAACGAGTTGAGACAGTTTACGTAGATGCAGAAGCGAGCTTTGTTGAACAGTCCCCCGCCATAGGGAAGGGGATTGCTACTAGAGTGTCGTGTGGCCGATCATCTGGGTGATCTGTGCCACCATGGATCCGGAAGAGTATGCCAGCTTCCTTGATGCTTCCTGGCAAGGCGGGGAGAGGAATCCTAAAGCCTAAAGCTTAGGTTCGGCGTGCTTCTCTTACTTGCGCTCTTGCGCTCTTCCGCTTCTTCCGCGTCTTCGATGTGCTCCTCTCTTCCCGAATCCTTAAGCCCTAGGGTCCCAACAGCACGGAATCCTTTTTATTGCAGAGCGCAGTTGCTGTAGATGAGGATTTTCCTTAGGTCTTTACAATCCACGTCCCCAATGGCAGGTTTCCTATTGCAGCATGGCTGCCTACATACTTGTACTTCCTAAAAAGTAAGGGTACCCCAATAGAGATCCCAATATATTATAATCCTCATTGTGAGGATTCCCAAAATGGTACCCCTAATTATGGGAAAACATATTATTGTAATTTTTGCTACCCTTAGTCCCTATATAATCCTGATAAAGCCATGAAAATTTAATGTTTATGGGTCCCCCAAACCTACCCAAATTTAGGACAGGTGCACATGAGGGTATTAAAGTAACCTAGCCTTATATCGGAGGTTGCCAGAAGTATGGTTGCTTTTCCGGTTGATATTTTCCTACGGTCCGTAAGGTTTAGGCTGCCCAAGAAAGGATGAGACATTTGACCATCTACCATACGGGCTTATTCAGACTGGATAGTCTCTGTAAGTTTTGAAGCTTGAAGGCTTCAAAAACAACATGACCCCAGAACCTCAAGTTGTACTTGGATATAGGTTGGGTCATTCCCCCTCCCAGTAACTGTCCTTAAAGGGGCCTTATTAAGGGGGTTCTTATAACTCCTATAACCCATTGTGGTAACAGTTACTGTAAGGGGGAATGACCCAAGATATAGGGCTTAAGTGCTTGGATTGTGTTTTGACTTAGTAAGTTTACCCACTATCCCCACTAACCCCTGTGACATGAGCCCATGACCCCTGTTACTAAGTAGATCTTACTAAGTCGAGAGAGCCTCCAAGTAAAGCCTTCTGAAACACTACGCAATCTCCACCTTCCTTTGCACTTGCTCCTCCATTGTTGGGGTTAGATGTCCGTAAACACGGTCAAAGAACCTCTAAATATCCTAAAAAGGGACCCGAAGTATCCCTAGACCCTAAACCCTAAGCCCTCAAAGGGGCCCCTAATAGCCTTAAACCCTAAACCCTAAGCCCTAAACCCTAAACCCCAAACCCTAAAGAGGTATGCGGCAGCAGCTTATGGATGCCTACCCACTACTGGGCCCTGCCCATCGGGGAAGCATTCGCGGAAGTGTGGGGGGTAGCTCTGGGCTCCACTCCTCGCAGGACTTTTCCACACAGGGGAAAGAGGATTTGGGGATTTCCCAAAATCAGGGGTACCATTTTGGGATCCCTATAATAAGGACTATAGTATTTTGGGGTCTACGTTGGGGTCCCCTCATTTTTGGGAAACTACCACTCCACACAGGGGAAAGAGGATTTAGGGTTCAGGGGTTTAGGGTTTGGGGTTTGGGGTGAAGGATCTAGAATTATAGGGTTTCAGTGTTCAAGGTCTTGGTTTAGGATGATGGAATCTTAGGATTTAGGATTTGAATTTAAGGTCAGCAACACGTTTTCCTGTTTTTTCGAGAGGGCATAGGATGGTCTCCCAAAATGTTGAAACTTGGCTCCAGTGTCCACGAGATGAGAGATGGTCTAGGGTTCAGGGTGCTATTGAACCCTAAGCCCTTACACCCCTAAACCCTAACCCCCTAAACCCTAAACGCTTCAGCCCCTAGACCCTAAAACCAAAAACCCCTAAGCCCCTAAAACCCTAAACCCCTAGACCCCTAGACCCCTAGACCCCTAGACCCCTAGACCCTCAACCCTCAACCCTAGGATCCTACACCTTGAGCAGGGCAGCTGAACAACTGTACATTGGACATGGTTGGATGCTGCCACCCCCACGCAGAAACAGTTGGATAGTATTTATTATATGAGCCATAATCTAAACTCCTTAATAGGGGGTTATATAGGGGATGATATAGGGGACTACTATAGGGCTCCTTAAGGGGGCAGACTAGGAGTTTATTTTATAGCTCATATGAGTACACAAAGCCCTGAATGGTACACCTATGATAGACTGTCATTGGCATGGGCGCAGTATGCATGCTTCTTGTACATCCGGGCACAGTGTTTAGGTGCTTGTGCCCGACACTTTGTTGCACGCACGTGGGCTGAAACTCCTTGGAATGCAGGTCATCTCAATCCCAAACCATGAGCCCCTAAACCCAAAACCCTAATAAGCCCCAAAATTGAGAGCCCAGCCCTACGCCAGGACTCCTCCGTGGGGAATGCGGGCCTAGGAAGCGGAAGTTCCGCAAGCTTTGGGCCCCTGGTCTCTGTTCAGTTGCTCCGGTTTAGGGTTTCCAGGAGGCTGAGGAAGTTTTTAGGCCGTAGGTTTTGGGGGGCAGTTTGGGGGCTCGGTTCCTTATTTGAGGTGTAGCGCTTCGGGTTTAAGGGTTGAAGGCGTAGGGTTAAGCGTTTAGGGGTTTGGGTTTCGTGCTGTTCAGGTAGGTCCCACGGCCCCAAAGCAGGGAAGAACCTCTAACAACCCCTGGTTCCCTTGTAATCGCTTGTCCTATGGCACCCCCCCCCGGAAATCGGGCTCCAAAACCCTAAACCCTTTCTGCGGTTCAGGTTCAGGGTCGTGGATTCCCATATCTGGCTGCTGTCATTCTTCTTGCCAAATTCATGGTACTTTCCATACATAGGGGGATCCCAAGATAGACGCCAGAGCATTGTATTCCTATTATTGAGTCCCAAAATGGTATCCCTAATTTTGGGAGCATGGCTTGTTTTTAGGCTATAGTCCCCCTTAAGTAGATAGAATATGGGGTATGTCGGGATCTCATTATAACATACCCAAGGCCATATTCTATCTACGTAAGGGGGACTACTGGGAACCCCAAACCAGGAACCCCAAGAATATAGTAGGTATATAATAGGAATATACCTACCAGGGTCCTTATATTCCGTTATATTTCTGCTATAT